AATAAATGAACCAATGTATAAATCTGACATCACATAATTGTTAAGGCTCATTGCTTCTTTATCCAAAAATGAAAACCACAAATATATCAAACTATAGATGTCCTTCTTCATAATAATTTTAGAAGTTCTCAGATATTCCATTTGAAAGTGACTTAACACTAAAATTTTGATCTTACTTCTTGATACTCCTTCGATGCATGTGAAAAGCTTTATTCCCTGGAGAAAAACATTGTCCTAGAAATGTGACATCACTGCACAAATTATATACTTCCTATTTATTTCCTCCTCTGTAGGAGAAAATTCTTCACAGAGAGGGTGGTGAGGCTCTGGCACAGGCTGCCCAGAGAGGCTGTGCCTGGAGGTGTTCAAAGGCCAGGCTAGACGAGCAACGTGATCTAGTGGGTGGCATCCCACTAGTGGGATGAATAGTGAATAACAAGGATCAGTACTGATACATAAAATTACCTGAGTGTGGATTCAAATATATATATACATAACTCAGTATTTCTGTACATCTGCTGCATGCGTTATTCTAATGGTAATTTTGTCTATTGTGATGTATTGGAGGTGATTTATATATTTTGATTATTATTAAATTAATGTATCTATTTTTACTTGTTTTAAACATAGTTCATTCTCTTTGCTTGTCAGTATAACAAACACTTGTCAACCCTTGCCCAAAATAGCTAATATGTTGAAGTAAAAAATGCTGTAGATATACTTGACATTACTATTAGTAGACTTCAATGAAATGGAAGGAAAGGAGGCTTCTTGGATGAAGACCATTGTTTCCTGATGCCTTTCCATTTTACAGGAGATAAGTACCATTATATAGTCATCCTTTCAACTTACATGGAATCTTTCACTGTGAATCAAAATGCGATGCAATAAACTTTCAGTTTTTGCTTTTTAAATTTCTTAGTTTTACCTCCATCAAATACAAATTTACAAAATTATCTTCAATTTATACTGTATGATTCAACAGGTCACTTAGAAAGCAAAAACATCTCGTAGAAGGACAGCCCAAAGGCTGCTTAGATGTTATAGCAGTATAGTATAGTAATAGTATACAAAATGTTTTGGTCTAACTGATAAATAATTGTATGTTTTTTTTCTATAAGATTCCTGACTTCTTAGAAATTTGCTATGGTACCAGCAATTGTTTGGTTATATTAGTCTTCATTTTGAATCATTGTTTGAATGCTGACATAATAGTAGAAATACCAAATTTATGTATCATTACTTGTTCATAAAAATGCATTTCCACCCATCTGTAATTTTGCTGAATATAGACATTAATTAGTATGCATATTCCTCCACAAGATTCATAAAAGTAACACTAACTTTCATGTTGGTGTTTAAATTATTCTTTAAAACAGAGCTTATGCTATTCTAAATCCCCTGTCCCACTACAGTTCTAAAGTCACTTAAGATGATGGATTTGTATTACTTTCTATTAGGATTTACTCTCAAGTTTCATAGATTACATTCCTGAGAAATTTTCTCTGCTATGCAGAGAAAGGCTGCTAATACTCTTAATTATATCACTAAACAATGTATCTCCCTTCTTATTACTATGATTTTTTTGGATTGAGATACCAAAAAAAGCATAAGAATCCAGAAGACAGGTGCACTGAATGGCCGCTGAAGTCAAGTACAAATAACTAAACCAGAATATTTCAGGGCCTCATTTAAGAACTCAGTTAAGCAGGTCAAGAAAAGTAAGCAGGGCAGAACACTTAGATTTGTGGTATTGATTACTTACCTGACCCACATTTTCTGGTCTGTCGGTTGGTGTTTTAACAGTAGTGCCTTTGGAAGACTCCATTCTCTTATCTGACGATGAACCTGTTTGCGAAGACCCCAGATAGTCTGGTGGTGGGAGGACAACACCAGCTTTTTCTGAAAGATTCACAGAACTAACACTTCTAATAGGTGCAGGGCTGTAAGACAGAACCCAACAAATAACATTTTCAGTTCCTCTCACATGTCTTTAGTCCCAAGAAAGAACAGAAGTGGATGAGCTGAAAGTTAAAGCATGTAATCTCCCTGAAATCAGTGGGACTCTAAATTAAAGTTGGGGTGATGCTAGTTCTTGGGGTCTCTGTATAACCGTTAAAACATGATAATGTAATCAAGGGATCATACTACAGATTGTTAGAAAGTACTTACTATATATGCCACTGAACAACATCAACTGTAAGCAGAAATGTTAACACGATTAATAGATGTTACAGAAGTGTAAAGATTTGGGCATTTTTGCAAGTCCTGCTCAAAATGTTACCTTGGCACCGGGGCAAATGCTTTTTCTTCTGCTGGTTCTTCCAGTGGTCTAGTATATGATGATGGAAACCATCCTTTTCTGTAATGGGAAAGGTTTTCAATTTCGTATTATATACAATTGGAATGATCTTTCAAAAGACAACACCAGACAAAACAGTAGACTTCAGAAGATTTAACATTTAAAGGCCTGGGTCTGATGATATCAAATTAGTGTACAAGATCTCCCTAAGATAAACTCAGTGATTCACCTGACAGAAGGACTTCAAGTCCCCAGTCAATGATAGCCAGCAAAAAGGGTGGAAAACCATTTACTATTATCTGCTAATGAAACCTGATGAGAGACATTTTTCTTTCGTGTTCAGATTGGGTAAAGTATTGACTATCTTACGCTTTAGTTGACTCATGTTCCCCATAAAGCCAGCCATCCTTTTCTTCAGCTACAAGAAGCACGATGATATCCCCCTGTGCAAAGCTAAGTAATGTCTTGTTACTTCCAGCAGTATGTGGGAAGATTGTCTTCACTTTTTGCCTCTTCATTATATTCAACCCTGTGGCAACAGAAGTTGAGCGTGATAAACTGGCATCTTCTGAACTCTCTGTCAAAAAAAAGCAAAACAAGAAAAGAAAAGCAAAATTAACCACACTAATAAAATACAATTAGCTGTCCAATGGGAAAAGAAAAATAGGTAAAGGAAAACTCAATGCAGATGAAGTTCTGAAACTTTGTACTGCTTTACTTTCTGCTAAGACTCTCAGTTATCTACCATTTCTTACCACCACAAAGTTCTTAATAGTGTATGTGTAAACAAATGCACATATCACAATAAGGTTGAATCAACAGGTAATAAGAAGTTACATGAATTTTAACTTGCTACTGCTTCTTCTTTTGCCATGAAAATGCTAACCATACACAGCTACAGAAGACCTTTGAAAATTTTCCTTTAAAAAAAAAAAAGAAAAAGGGAAAAAAAAAGAAAAAGGTGTGTATGAAGTCCAAGATTTCATTTGCAAATGAACCTAGCACTCGACTTCAACTGAATCAATGACAAATGCAGACACTTGGCAGACATCAGATGTTTACCAGAAGATTTAAAGGATGTCTCAAAAATGTGTATTATTTGACCAGCACAATGTATTGCAGAGCATTTTTTTTTAAGGAAGAAATGCTGGAAATGCTATTATTACACTGAAGAGTTCTGCATTTCTTTTGTTGTGATGTAGGCTTAGTTCTTTCCCTATAGCAGAGTAAGCCAAGGATTAGTATTTTAGAAACTAGCAAAACATATCTAAAGAGGATTTTGTGTTTCAGGAAAGAAATACAAGACTGCTCATTTTGTCCCATGTGCATTCTTCCCTAACTTACATATCCTTAAAGGAAACCAAAACAAGACGGCAATATTAGTTCACGTTTGTCTGTATGCACTGAAATAATCACACAGATGTGTCTTGTTCAAAATTACAGAATGTATTCTTCCAGTAAGATTGGGAGTCCGAGGAGCAGTTAAACTGGGAGAATCAGGTATGCATGTAAAGTGATTAAAATATAATCTACCTGTATTTTACCTGATTAAAATAGAATCTTGACCTGTATTTTACTGCTAACAGTTCTTCCCTTCTTATGACATATATTTTGCCTGTTAGGTAACTCATATATAAATATTTCATAAGGAACATTCTTTACTCCTCCATATGTCCTGGAATTCACATCACGATAGTAGCCAAGAAATCCAAAGATAATTTTTAATACTGTAACGTGCCATTTGCTCTTATAGTTTGCAACAAAATGACACTCACCTGTTGAATTTAGTCTTTCCGAAGATGTCTTTGGAACCGTTGCAGGATTGTTAAACATATCAACCAGTGGACTAATGTATGCCCTACCTGTAGGAGCAGGGGGCACCTTTGATACACTTTCATAAGTATAAAAATCATTTCCAATCTAGAGTCACAAAAAAAAAATATATAAAAATTATTACAATACTGAGATGACAGTGACACCTGGGTTATTTGCAACATAAAATTCTAGAAAGCAATGCTCAAATTTTCCCAGATTATATATATGTAGGCCAGCCAGAAAGTCCCTACATTCCTATGAAGTTGTTGATAGGATACTTTGCAAGAGAGTCCTGTCCCTTGATACACATTTGTTAGTGGGAATGCTATAAAAGCCCCCATTTCCACAAATAGCACACTCACACCTAGATAAGTAAATTTCTTTGAATAAATAAATAAATTTGGAGATTAGTATAATTTAGAAATTCAACAACTAATGGTAAAACAAAAAAATAGAGGGAAGAAAGTAACATTTTGTTTAAGCTTATATTAAGCTAGCAGAGTATGAAATTACTAGTACTTACAGTTAAGAATTTAGGATATGGAACTGTTACAACAAATGAAGTCCTAAGACTGGGCACTGCAGAAAAAGTCCTGAGCTCCTAACTGAAAACTGAGCCTTGTTTGGATATACACTTCTGCTAACCATATACATTGTGAATTTTTCCAGTGGTAGAGCTTCAGCTTAATGATTGGCTTTTATCCAACCCCAGTATATTCCAGTTGAGTTACATTATAGACTTGAATCCAAATGCTTAAGTACAACAGAAACTAGTGAAGCCAATCTAGTCCCATTTAAAAGAGAACCTTTAACTATCAGAGAAAGACATACCATGGTATTTCTCTCTATCATTGGTGAAGGCTGTGGTGTTCCTGATATTGGAGTGGAACCAGGTGTCCTTATTTCGTCTATCATCATTTTGACTTTTTCAGGCACTTTGGTAGCATCACTACAAATTTCCTGCCACCCAGGCAGCTTGGAGTTGAGGAATTCTGCACACTGCATCCAAATGTAAAAGGTACTAGTCAAATATATGCTTTTACATAAAATTACACAGAGCTACTTGCTAAATTTTGTTACAGCAAAATGATAACATAACTGAAATGGAAGTCTTTTCAAACAAGTTCATAATTACGTAATATATATTTGAAACAAATAGTATGTAATAGAAAGAACGCTCTTTTTCAGGGTCAGATACTGGAATTTCTGTAGATTTTTTAAAAATTCATAGTAACCCTTTATTGTTTATGAGAATATTGCATTGTAAACATTTTTGTGAACAGAATGCAATACTTGTCTGGTACTACAGTGTTCCTAGTGCTGTCTTAACTATTTATGGCAGTCTCATCTTGATACTAAAAGAGATGCTTAAGATCTCCTATAGGATTAGATTTCGGGAGTTTCATTTCTATTTACACTCATGCCACTGACCTGAACATGATAGAAGTGCATGTGCTGGGTAAAACTGCAGTGCTTGTCAACCAGAAAACAGAATCTTCTTTTTTCTTCAAGTAGAGCTTCTCTACAGCCTTCTGCAATAAATCTCTGAATATCAGTCTGTCGAGAGTTCACGGTTTCCAAATACTAAGGAAAAAAAAAGTCTCTTAGTTTTATGTGGTGTACTCTATTCAATTACTGAAGTGAACTCCAAAAACCCTAGAAAAAGTTACTGGAAAAGCGGGGTAAGGTGGCTCTACTTCAAAGTTATTCTCTTTTCATGCATACACCTAATTCTCCAACCTCATCAGGTAAACATATATTTTTTATTATAGGCAAGTAGTAATCTAGGCACATGAAAAGTTGCACCAGGGAGGTTTAGGCTGCATGTCAGGCAGAGTTTATTCTCAAAAAGGATGTTAGGCTTTGGAACAGGCTGCCCAGGGAGGTGGTAGAGTTGCAACCCCTGGATGTATTTTAGAGATGTGTGAATGTGGCACTTGGGGACATAGTTTAGTGGTGGACTTGTCACGACAGACAGATCATTGGGCTTCATGATCTTAAGGGTCTTTTCCAACCTAAATAATTATCTGATTCTATTTAAAAGGGGAAAGGAAGCAAAACAAAAAAAAAGTCTTTTAGCATCTAAGTAATATCTACAGCAAATAAGAATACGACTTCAAAGCAGTAGCAACTGAGCTGAGCAATTTTAAGGCCACAGGTGTTCATTCTCTAATTAGACTAATTACCTTCATCTGCTCCATAGCAGTTACATTTACTCTCACAAAGCTGTGATGAATCTATACTTCATTTTAGAGGGGGAAAATGAGATACTAAAGAGACTAAAGTATATTTATCTAAGGTTATGAAGATTCATGGCTAAAATGTGCTTAAATGTTAATTCTTGAATTCTCAGTCCAATACATTAAAAAGAACTGATCTTCTGAATGCAGGTTAAAAGACAAGCAGTAAGAAATAAGAGCTATTCTTTATTTATTTTTGCTGTACCTTGTTATAAACAAAGCTTTCTTTGAACAGAAAATTAAAACAGAAAAATATGGAGGAAAAAATATAAAACATAATATAAAACAAAAAGCTCGTGCAAATAAAAATATCAATAGCAAGTATTTTCTGATACACGTGATAGCCAGAATATGACTTATTTAAAACAAAGGTTCTCTTTACTGCCTTGCCATTTCTTATTTTGCCTCAAGATGGCAATGCTGTTTAAGATCTGCAGGAAAGGAAGTAAATAATAAGTGATGTTGCCTACTTTGGAAAATTAATTTATAGCAAATTACTGTTGAAGTTGCATGGCATGGCTGCATAAACTTATGCATAAAGGTGTAGTTACTGAGATAATTTAAAGTAGTTCACCAAGTAGTGGTCAAGTGAATAAATCTAGAAACTGAAGAAAACGTCTCTGAACATATACAACAGTACAGTACCAGCATTTATTTTCAACCAGAATGCATATTCTAGGAGCCCCCTTGATATAAAACAGCTTTGAGAAATCAACAATACACATTCTTTGAAGTTAGTTTAACTGTTGCCAAACAATTTACAGAGGAGTTATGTGTATTAACTAATTACATTGCATATATAAAAATTGTTGTAAGCTTCAGAAGTCAAGTTTTAAAATAGACTCAGATATGACCTGAAACAGCTTAATGTTTTGACCAGTTCTCATTTAAAACAAAACAAAAAAACTTAAGAGACAACACACTGACCTCCATTTCTTTATGCTCATACTTCATTACATTTCGTGCTCCTTGGCTTTTCCTTCTGATTTTTTTCAGCTCAGCCTGAGACTTCTCTAGAGAATCTAATTTGCTTCTGTGTTCGTTTTGGTACCTCTTTAAAGTTGCCTGCAATCAAAATATTTAAAATATCTTATAATGCACTCAGCAGTGCAACATTTGTAAGCATTTAAAAAACATTTCCATAGATTATCACTAATACACATCAAATTAGGTGACCAATTGCTTTTGTCACCTTTAGTTTAAGAATGCTATTAAGTCATCAAGCATTGGTTCCTATTTTAACTCAACATAAGCATGAAAATTTTGGCCATGTTTATGTATTTAAAGCTCAAATCTGTCATACTAACTAAATTCTAGGGAACAATTTCTGAAAAAGTCTATGCCTAACAACAGATAAATAAAATACGAGCTTGTTGGTATTAGAATTGAATGTACTTACAGTCATGTATTTTACATCCAGGTCTGTTTTCTTCTCCAGTTCAGATATAATTTCTTTATGAAATTTTTTGAACTTGAAAAGCAAATGAATGAAGGGTTATTAAAAATCAGCAAAAGTAGTTTATAATTTCAAAAGGTTGGATAGATTAAGAAGTTGTTTAACTTACACTTTCCTCTAGACTGTCATTAAGTTTCTTGTGTGTTCTTGAAATTTCTGTGAGAACTTGGCCTGTTGATAAGCATACAACCGTATTTGTTTCTTTCATAGAGCTTTGAAGTTAGTTAACAAAGAGCAGCAATAAAATATATTTAACTGATACCGTTAATAACTAGAATATTTAAGAGAGATAGGAAACCTCTTGCTGTTGCTCATTACAGCAGTTGAAATAAATATATATGGGCACAGACAAACCAAGAAGCTCACAAATGATAGAAGAATAATTAATCATGTTATTTTGCAAAGAAGACTTGGAGTGCCAGACAAAATAACTACTTCCTTCTCTCCAGGATAGCACACATTGGTTTAGGAACAGGCTCTTTTCTTTCCAAGTCAGGGAATAGCATATAAAAAGTAAAGATACTTGTTACTACTTAAATAGCTGTTTCTTAGTCTGAAAAGTGAACCTTAATGGTTAACTAACTGCTCCCTCAAAATCAAAGTAACCTTTCACGTTCATTGACGGCACACCTGCTAAAACAGATCTGATACACATGCTGATTAATTTCTTGCACTGTTTTATCAGAACCTGACTGTATAGCATTAACAGCCAAGGAGAGGCAGATTTCTCAGCTTCTTCTCAACTCATCCTAAAAATGCCTATTACCCTTTGCTGTCTTCTAGCACCAGGTTGCATAACTTACTTTTAACTGCTAGCAGTTAGCAGCTGGAATGTTGCACTTTGCTTTAGAAGGGTGTAGAGGAAAAAAACTCATTCCTTGGGTGTGGTTCTACATGCAAACCTATCTAAACTGGGCTTGCTGCAGTCCTGCCCTGTATGCGGGCGACCACATCATCCTGCTCAGGATGCCGATGGCCACATCATCCAGCTCCCTCCCAGCTGTGCTGGCACTGACATGCTGAATGTGTGCCAGTCTGGTCTAGGAGACTGCAGCGTACGGCTCGGAGGAGCATCTGGACATGTCCCAAAGTGGCCAGTTTGACCTCACCCAGACTAGAACCGTAGGTACTTACCAGGCCTCAGCCAGGAGCTGGTATAATGGCTTTTTGTCTACAGATGTGTTTTCTGTCATTACATTTCCACGGCAAGAACATGGGTTCTATTTCAGGGCTGGGTCACTGTCATGCCTCCTCCAGTAATCTATTTGTCAATCAACCTTTCATTATCCCACAATGAAGTCTTTGCCATGCAGGTTCTTACGGTATTAAACCTGAAAGGCTCTTGTTCCAACGTACAAAGCTCCATAATTTTGGTTTTCTGACTCTGTGCCACTGGCAGAGCCACAGCACAAGACTGAGTCAGTCAGCAAAGATATGTCATCCTACAGTGCCTCAGTTCCCAAAAAAGCTCCCCAAAAGGTGCAGATAACTGACAAATTCAGCTAAATGACACAAATGACACAGAACTTTTGATGCGATCCTTCTCATCTTCTCCTTTCTCAACATTTCCCCAGCCATCAAGACCTGTCTCTCTCATAGTATACGTTAGTGCTTTGGTAACCTTCCCATCTAATGCAGATACCATCTCATAGTGACTGGATATATATAATTACTTTTCTCTTTTCAAACTACATATATATATTTTTATATATACACATATCTATGTGTTTGTAAACCGTATGATATATATATAAAACCCTATTTTTCTGAGTCCTTCTGTACAGCCTACAGTGTTATGCTTTTTTTTTTTTCCTTTATATTTAAGGTTGCTGGTGATTACCAAAATACAAAGGTAAATGCTATGAGAACTGAGAGTTGCTACAGTAATTAGTTATTTCACATGCAACAGAGAAGTAAATACCATGTATTTACCATGTTATTTATCATAAACACTGAATTAACCAACACGAGTAAGCCACCTGGTTATTTTAAGGCTGCAGAAGTGAATGAAATTTAGTCTGTAGTGTTTGTTTTATCAAACTCAAATGAGAAGTTATATTTTAGACTGTAATGGCATTTTAAAATTGGAGGAGTTTTTAAAAAATTTATCAGCAACTTAAGAAAAATAGCGTTAGAAGACATAAGGAAAAAAAAATCCAATACAAGTAAGATTACAAAGTTTGTTTGGTTTTAAGTGCGCAGAACAGAAAGCTGCTTGGAAAGTCACAGAAATTCAGGATGAACATTGAAATGGCCATCAAAAAATTGCTCTTATAGGTTTTTATTCTTTAAAATGAACTTATTCTCACTCTTCATCAAAAG